TTAGACATTTCTCAGATTGTTGTCCTGTCAAGGAAGCGCCTTTCCACCTATGGACCGACTTTTTAAATGTATTGCATTGGCTAAATGCTCCGCCTTCCAAGTGGCCTACCTTTATTGCCAACAGATGCTCTAATATTTACGAGCTAGTACCTAAAGCTGAATGGCATCATATAAGGTCCAAGCAAAACCCAGCTGATATCGCCTCGCGGGAAATTTATCCGAGTCAAATGAGTGGACAGCGTTGATGGTTTTCTGGTCCAGATATACTACACGAGTTCCAACCCGAATACCCAAAGCTCAAAATTGACCTCCTTGAAGATACTTCGCATGTAAATATATTAGTTACGGATAAAGGCCTAGATACCTTTGTCAATGGATTGTATGGACGTTATTCTAAATGGGAAATACTACTTCAAGTAACTGCCTACTGTCTTAGATTTGTTTATAGACTCCTTGTCAAAATAATTCAAAGGAAGTCAAAAAATCATACTGACAATTTTAAACCTAAATTACCTTTTATTTCTGTAAATACTTATTTTAATTTAGCTTTATTCAACCTATCAATCGAGGAATTAGAAAATGCTGCACTCTTGTTAGTCTACACACATCAGCAGCGTTGGTTTTCTGCCGATTTAGCTGTTCTCCGACGAAACCAAAGTCTCAAGCCTGATGAATTTGAACAGCTTCCATCGCTTAGTCGCTTACGTAAACTTACACCAGTGCTTACTCATGAACTTCTATAAATAGGTGGTAGGCTTAGCAACTTGCTATTGGATTCAGATTCTAAACACCCACTGATACTTTATGGTTACGACTACATCACTCGATAACTTATTGACTACTCTTCCATCGAACCATGTTACATGGAGGTGTCGATATAGTCATAGTCTCTCTCAGGAGAAAATATTGGATGCTACGAGGCCGTGAAGTAGTGCGCGCAGAACTCAGTCATTGTTTTACTTGTAAGCGATACAAGTCAAGAACTCAAACTCAATTAATGGACGATCTTCCCGACTGCAAAGTCACTCCTAGTCCTCCGTTTCAGAAGACAGGAGTTGATTATGCTGGACCCCTTTCAGTTCAACGATCAAAATGTCGTAGAAAGGGCACACTCAAAGGCTATATCGTTGTTTTCGTGTGTATGGCAACTAAAGCCATACATTTAGAGATTGTGGAAGATTATTCAACAGAGTTGATTATTGCGGCTTTCCAGCGTTTCGTTTCACGTAGAGGTTACTGTAATGACTTATACAATGATCAGGGTACAAATTTTGTTGGAGCTCACCACGAGCTCAGAAAAATGCTTAAGGATTGACATCAGTCAGATCAATTTGCTGATAACTTGTCGTCATTAGGAACATGGCATTTTAATCCACCGGCTGCTCCCCACTTTAGTGGTATTTGGGAGTCAGCCGTGAAATCAACCAAGTTTTATCTAAAACGAGTTGTGGGTGACCAAATCTTGACTTTCGTTGAATTCTCAACTTTTCTCTGTCGCATTGAGGCTTGCCTTAACTCTCGTCCACTCTGCCCCTTGACAGATGACCCACTTGACTTGAATCCATTAACTCCTGCACATTTATTAACCCTGAGGGCTTCTTATTTTGTCCCAGAACACGATCTTCTAGCTAAAAGGGTTTCTCCATTACAAAGATGGAAATTAATATCGCAGTCTGTTCAGGTTTTTTGGAAAAAGTGGTCCTCGGAGTACCTCAGCACCCTTCAGGCACGATCCAAGTGGCTTACGCCTCAAAGGTCCATGCAAGTAGGAGATTTGGTCCTTATAAAAAATGAGTTGACTCCACCTGGTAAGTGGCCTTTAGGTCGATTAATAGAGATTTTTAAAGACCTGAACTCTCTAGTCAGAGTTGTAAGGGTGAGGACCAGCAATACTGTCTCAGTTAGACCCATTCACAAATTAATTCTGCTGAAAACTAGCTCTGAATTAATTGACGCCAATAACTTAGAATAGGATCTTAGAACAAAAACTAAATGTTGATTATATAAAAAAAAGGGAGCATATTAGTTTGAATTGATTAGATTTTTAAATGTAATACCTAGTTATTGAGCCCAATTTTAAATTTTGTTCATATTATTATTATTTAATTATCCTTGTAAGTAGACAAGCGATCTACATTAATATTTTTAAATTTCGATTTATACGTTATACTTTGTTTATTTTATTTATTTTTCTCTTTCTTTGATGTATATTCGTACTGACTGCTGTCCATCAACTTCGGTAGTATGTTCAACATCAAATTAGTATTACAAACATTAACTATATAGAATTTATATATTCGCGCGCTAGCAATTAACTTTAGTATTTTGTAACCAATAGCGTGCGTACGATGGTCCTGCGTGACCACCAATCATAGCGCTCCACGTTTAAGTTACTTTGGCTGCTCACGACTGCTCGCCTGTGAGCATTTAGTCAGTCCGCACCGATCGCTCGTCCAGTGAACCACAGTGTGGTCACTGTGTACACCAACCA